GGAGTGGGACGAGGCAGCACGACAGCAGGATACTTAGAGGATACTTCCATAGGCTTCTCCAGAGCGGTGTGGAAAGGGGATGGAAGCAATAAATTTTAGAGAAAAGATGCCATAGCAAGAATCCTGGCAACAGTTGTGTGAAGATGATGAAGCCGTATGTCGAATAATTCCAGAAAATGAACCGGCTCTTGTATGACTAAGAATAACCAGCGAGCTTCCATACGCTTTCAGGCACACACGGATGGCATGGCTGGTAACTCTAATCAGGCAAAAATGCTCATTGTAATTGGCTTTTTAAATAAAAATATCTGGCCTGGTCCACATGCAGTTAGCCCAGTAAATTCCAGTTAATTAGCATCAGGCAGCAATCTCTCTTTCCTGTCCATATGGAGTCTGCGTGTTGTGAACGGGAGGAGGTGGAGGTGGCAGGAGGAGGAAGACGGGAAGGATGTGCTTCCTTCTGAGGCTACAGACATCCACCAGTGGTCAAAAGAGGGTGTAAAACACAGTTGGTCTTTAAGGCATTAGAAATTGCCTTAACAGAAGCTTAAAGTGCTTATTTCTGAAACTAGTGATGTTCAGCATGATAATGGTGAAGCTGTGACAGCAACCAAGCATCACAGGAACGAATACTGCTAGAACCCGACAAATTCTCATTCTTTTCACTAGAAAAATCTTTGTTCTCTGCTCACGTATTTCACCTAAAGAAATTCTACCCGTCTCTTTAGAGACAGCTAATTGATAGACTGCTCCTTGGTTTCTCTCGTGCCTCGTTGAGGAGGTCAGAGGCGACAGGAATTGTTCTGGTGAGCCTCGTACGCTTGGCCCAGCAGCTGGCTGGCCTGGCAATTAATTTGCCGTAAAACAATTCACATCTGAATTTCCAGACCTTAATTGCTCCATGGTAAAGCGCCGGGGCTGCTCTTACCCTGCAGCAAAGTAGTTCTACCCCTCTTTTCCTCTAATCAAATGTTATTCATTCAAAGCGAACGGAAGGGCAGCATCCCTTTGCTGCAGGATATATATGCACGCAGACAACCAGGGCTCAGCTCTCCGGTCTCTGCAAGTCCATACTTTACTTCGCCTCCTGATGGTGTGTTTACAACCTTAGAGATGCTTTCCTGTGGAATTCAGAAGGAGTGGGTAAGTCAAAGAATACTCCCCCTTTGTACAGGCTGTCAAAGCCTTTCTTTTCTGTTCCGCCGTCGACGCAGCACTCCCGTTACTCACTCGCCCTTCTCTAGGTTTTCACGAGACACAAACCAGCATTTATTGTTTTCCCCTAAGCAAAGGCAATCTCAAACTGTCCCTGGATGACTCCCGTGCATGAGGCTATGACTCAGGTTTCATTTGTTTCCTGTCCTGGTGTGCTCTCTTTTGACACATCTACAAGCCTAGCGGTGCCTGGAGGAAAAAAAACAGGTCAGAGCTGGGATTTCACAAAATTTGACTTATTTAGCGATAAAAGGCCTGTAAAGCCTGGCCTCTACAGAGACTGCAACATTCATTAAACCTACAAAAATGTATAGCTTTGTGGAGACAGCCCTACAAAAGACATGTAGGGCTCACAGCTCTACAGCTATTGACCACAAGCCAAATCTCTGCTACGGCAAAAGCAGGCACGGGGTCTCACCTGAGAACAAGTCTGGAGAAAACAGCTCTGAAGTCCTTATGCTACAACACAGACCTTCCCAATCAGTCTTGCTTTCCTTATATGCAAATATCAAGGTAATCAATTACCGGGAAAGCTAAATCAGAAGATTTTGACGGTACCTTGACAGCCATGATTCAGACTGACATCATTATTCCCACCCGCCGAACGCTGCTTTGCATCCTTTCCTTTAGTGCTTTGTGCTCCTTTCAGTCTCCTTTGAAACCACGTTACAAAGCAGGAGCCTCTTGGCAGCTTGGGCCAAAATGCCTTAATGAACGTAAAATTTAATCAGGGGACAAAGTAGTTGGGAAGTAAGAACTGTCACGGCACAATGAGTGACAAATATTCACTGTAATTATAAATTGTACTTAACACCAGGGTATGCGGCCCAGAAGGTCGCTTTTTAAGAATCTGAAATTTAAGAGCTTTATCAAAAGATTTTCAAATATTTATATGCACTTGGGCCGCAGGTAATGCCGAGATCGCTCGTTAAGACAGGAAAAAATGCTTAGCTTATTTACAGAGAAGTATTTGTATTTCACTTTTTCCCCCCTCTCTCTTTTCTAAGAGACTCGTTGATAGACTACACACATTTATTTGTCACTGGCAGCACGCTCGCTATGGTACCAAGCAGCTCAAGCAATGAGAGAAAAATTACACTTTCCCACAATAACCTGTTTTTAAGACAATTTAGCACAATGGAAAGCTTTCTCTTAACTATAGTTTTGGAGACTGAGACACAATACTTATCATTACCTCTTAGCAGCACTAACTTATAAAGGTTCTGTAAAACTAAAAAGCTCAAGCGACAGAAGAAAAGGGAGAAGTTGCCATTAGGAAGCAATAATGGTTACCTTCTTTTTACTCAAACGTACCAAAAATGCTATTTGAAAAGCAGGTATTTATGGCTGTTTGTGTGAGCGAATGTAAATATTTAAAAATATTTATCTATTTTATTACCATAAAGGACAAAAGCTAATGCTAAAATTGTCTCTTAGGATGGTACTTGGGAAATATTTAAATGATGTGGACTGGCTGAGGTGAGGCTCAGGGGTCACGGGTACCACACAGAACGTATCTGACAAAGGCACCATGAACACTGAGGATGGAGAGGACGTGTGACCTGACAGTGTCTGAAAGGACCACAACGATTTATGAATCTGGTGTTTTTCTGCAGCTCATCTGGGATAACTGAAATCTAGTTAACACCTTGGCATCTTAAAGTTACTTAAGCGACGGGAAGAACAATGTTTTTTTCAAATGGGTAATTTATGAATCTGGTGTTTCTCTGCAGCTTATCTGGGATAACTGAAGTCTAGTTAACACCTTGACATCTTAAAAGTTACTTAAGCAACGGGAAGAACAATGTTTTTTTCAAATGGGTACAAATATGCTGTATTTGGCAATCTTGAAAATAATGAAGAAATTTAACATTTAGACTCCAAAAGAGGGATTTATCTTTTGAGAGGTCACTGGCTAACTGATAGGTATTTCCACCCAAAGAACAGAGTAAGAAGACTTTGAGAAATGCTTCGTTACGTGACTGTACCCGCATACAGCTGGGTTTGGGGAAGGGATACAAACTCCTCCCCTCTGTCATTGGAATACAAGTTTTAAGTGACAGAAAAATAAGAGTCCCGCACCTCCTCTCCCCATATCTCCACCAGTTTGTCAGCAGTGCTACTCCATCTTAAAGGTCCCTTCCAACCTAGACAATTCTATGATCCCATGGTTCTATATCCTGTGTCAGGAAGTGGAAACAGACACCCAGAAAATTCCTGATCTGGGGGGTTTCTTGGTGTCCAATCTCATACCGTGAGATATTTCCATTTTCTCTCGAGAGCTCTAGCCATTTTTTTATTTCAAGGGTTTGGCAGGAAATGCTTTCATTCCAAATGCTTTAGTTCCCTCTTCTATTCTCTCTCAAGCTTTCCTTTGACACTTTGAAATGCTTTCATTCCAAATGCTTTATTTCCTCCTTACTTCTATTCTCTCTCAAGCTTTCCTTTGACAGGGTCCCTGCTATTAGTGCTTTGCATGGCCAAACTTACGGTACGGCTGCTTAACTCATGACTGATGAGACTAATTGCTGCTATAAATCAGGAGTTCATCAGTAGATGGAAGAAGGAAATAATGAAAAAAAGAAAAAGACTTGGGTACTACAGGAGTAAGTGTGGCCCACTAATGAAAGTCCACAACAGAGGTTGCATCAAGGTCATCTCCAACAGGGAGATGTAGATATTGATACCATTTCAAAGCCAGTAAAATCTTACTGCAGGAAATGGTTCTGTTGAGCTTTACCTACAGTTCTGCATTCTTTAAGCTGAGAGTAAGGATTTAGTAACAAGTTACAGGTAGTGGTCATTTATACTAAAAATTGAAGAAAATATTGTCAGAAAACTGTTGAAGAATGTTGTTGTGTGATTTTGTGGGCCATGATACTAGCCTGCATCCACACTCTGAGTACTTTTAAGGATATAAGGGTCTGTGGCTGAAACAAGGATGTGCAGAAGATGAAGGTAAGTGGAACTGAATCTCGGAGCTCTAATCTCCATGAGCATACGAGTGCAGGCAAGTCCTTGAAAAGTAATAACAAGATGTGACTCAACTCATGTGACAGGTGAGAGAAAGGACAGGCTTATGAAAATACATTAAATTGGCAAGGGGACTTCAATTTTATCTGTTCGATCTTAAGCTGCAGAGCAGTACACAAAAACATTAACCTCGTAGAGAGGCATCTGAAAAACAAAGCAAAAAGCACTTTTTGCTTCCTTTTGTAGCAACTTTCCAAACTATGTGACGGGTGAAAATGGGTTGCAGTGTTGATATCTGTGATACAGACTTTATTCTATGATATCTTGATAAGGGATTAATGCTCTACAGAGCACCACAACACTCTCCAGAACTCAGGGTTTAGCTAAGCAGGAGCTCCAGGAGTTCCCTGGGTCAGTGAAGAAGCTAAGGATCTTTCCCCTAAGAAACACACTATAGAAATAACCCAAATTTCTGTTGATTTAAGCTCTCTGAAGTCCATCTTCAACACCGTCCTGAAGAAGCTATTCATTTGAGGCAAAGTTGTGTGCTCGATACTGACTTTTCAACACTTGCCTGTTCTTACACAAAGCAATAGACACCAAATGATTAAAAAATGAAACCAAAATCTCCATGAGCATGGTCCACCCTTCCTTACCTACACATGGCTATTGTTTCCGTATAAATGACAACATTCCAAACGAAATAAACTTTTTAACACAGAATCCTTTCACTGCAGGAAAAAAAAAAAAAAAAAAAAAAAAAAAAAAAGAGGAAAAGAAAACCCACAAACCCCCCCACAATGTTTCATTACCTGGTTGGTAGAAATTTGGTGAAAGTTCTCTGGCAACTGCTCTGGCGATATCACATTCCTGGCGAGCTGCCTGAGCGGCCTGATCCGCAGCGTCAGCTTTAGCTCTTGCGTGTGCAGTTCTGTAGGGGGCAGAAAAAGGGTTATAATGCAAGAGGAGCCTTTGACGGGTCTCATCAAGAACGTGAGAGTGAAAAAATTCTGTCCTCCACTTTCATCCACCCCCCTGTACAGCGCGCTCTTGGAACTGCAAATCGAGGTGTTTCTGAATCTCAGCTCTTCAGTCCCACAGAATCACAGAATAATATGGGGTTGGAAGGGACCTCTGGAGATCATCTCCTCCAACCCCCTGCCAGAGTAGGGTCAGGTCCCACAGGAACGTGTCCAGGTGGGGTTTGAATGTCTCCAGGGAAGGAGACTCCACCACCTCTCTGGGCAGCCTCTTCCAGGGCTCTGCCACCCTCACAGGAAAGAAGCTCCTCTTCATGTCCACATGGAACTTATGTGCCCATTTCCTCTAGTCCTGCTCAACCTCATATCACGTTTACTTGTAGGTACACAATTTACAGCCCAGGCTTGCTAAATCAAACAAAAAAAAAAGTACCAGATCAAAACTGGGGATTATAATTTTAATACACGTCACCAGAATGTGCCCAGAAAGTCAGACAGAGCCACACCACACCAACTCCTAATGACAGGTCTGTGAGACCAGGACACAGTGTCCAAGGGGCCTGTGGAATGCCATCACAACCCAAAGCTAATGCTCACTGCTGGGTGCCACAGAAAATGTTGCGAAGGGCAAAACTGAGGTATGTTGGTCCAAAAAACCTGAGATATGTATTCACAGAGTCACAGAATCACAGAATGGCAGGGGTTGGAAGGGACCTCTGGAGATCATCTCCTCCAACCCCTGCCGGAGAAGGTCTACCCAGAGCAGGTCCCACAGGAACATGTCCAGGTGGGTTTGAATGTCTCCAGAGAAGGAGACTCCACCACCTCTCTGGGCAGCCTCTGCCAGGGCTCTGCCACCCTCACAGGAAAGAAGTTCCTCCTCATGTTTAGATGGAACTTCCCATGTTCCAGTTTGTGCCAGTGAGGACTTGACAGTTTTAAATTCTTGCAACTCACTGAATTTCAAATCCAAAGCAACGTCACTTTTTTCTGAAGTTTGGACACCAGTTTGGAATCCTTTCGTAAAGCAATTTGCCCTCTGCTTCCACTTTTTTCCTTCGGCTATTTCTTAAAAAGCCTCAAGAACAGCTTGTGCAAGTGCCTGCGATTCCGGACTGTGTAAAGTGATCCTTGTGTTCCTGCGGGATTGCATCACCCCGTGTCCCATCTCCCCCCCCCAACCCCGGCCCCCACTTCAGCTTTTAAACAGTCATCTGTTTAAAAATTCCTGATGGCAGTGATCTCTCCCTGCCTCTCCAGCATCAGCTCGTAGCCTGGAGCTATGAAACGCCTCATCGGAACAGAGGGGAAGCTAAACATGGCAAACGGGCAGAGCTTTTTGGATCCTCTAGAGATATTAATAACATTTCTAAAGCAGATACATGAAATTCCACGATCTCAGGAATTTCCTCATAGCATTCTAGGAGAAAACTGACACTTCAGTAAGAAAAAAATTAGTGAAGAGGACAACAGCAGCAGCAACCTTTATCCCACGTGCCTGGTGATGCTAATCAACAGCAATCAAATAACCGAAAACTTTTCAACAACTTCGCTGCAAAAATTTGGGTTTATTCGCAAGGAAGAAAGGAGAGCTCCAGGTGTTTTAGGTGAAGCAAGAATTAAACGTTTAGCATTAACCACAACGAGCACGGAGAGATTAACAGTGTGGCAGACTTTGCATTTCTAAAAAGCTGTTTAATCCCGTAGGGTACCAGTACAAACACAGACATGAAAAACCCACAGAGACGGTTTCGTCTGTGGTGCCTGGAGAAGATTTATTTAAGTTACATCCTCCCTAAAACGTGTGCGGGGATAAATGCTGAATGTTATTTCAAAGCTTAGCCTGTCATCGTTCACTGGAGAAATATCAGCTCGTGCTGCCTTCCCACCGGTCCCTCTGGGTCCCGGAGAAAAAAAAGAGATAATGAGCAAATAAAGCAGTAACACCTTCCACTGGGGCTCAGGATGGGGGACAGAAACTGTTAATCAAACCAAACACACCGTATAATCCCATATGTGCTCCCTGCAGCCCATGAATGGCTGGATGGTATGTGCTTGCCTAGTAACAGTCATCAAACCCGCTCTTTCTCTATAATCATTATTTTCAATTAGATGAGCTATTCTTAGCTCCTGCATAATTATGTCGATGTAGCATAAACTTAATGAAGCAATCCCAGCGCTGGGACATTGTTTTGTGAGACAATAATGTAGTCTGCCCATAGATAAACGAGACACTGAGCATCCTCTTGTGATGACAGAACAACCAGACAGTATTTTTATATCCCCATATACAAATAGTCTAATATTATTGCCACCGATACAACAGGCATTTTAAAAGCTAATGTACTAAATGACCAGCACTGGGAAAACATGCTGTCAGGGTGGTAGAGTTATTGATTGATGCCTGTGAATTTTCTGTATTATTATATCCAAGAAGAAAATCATAGAATCATGGAATGGTTTGGGTTGGAAAGCATCTTCAAGATCACCCAGTTCCACCCCCCTGCCCTGGGCAGGGACACCTCCCACCAGACCAGGTTGCTCCAAGCCCCATCCAGCCTGGCCTTGAACCCCTCCAGGGATGGGGCAGCCACAGCTTCTCTGGGCAACCTGGGCCAGGCTCTCACCACCCTCACAGCAAAGAATTTCAGGGACTAAGGAGAAATACACGAGTTTTGAGTGATGCTGTTTATAAGGGAGAGCTCTCAAAGCAGGGGAGTCCCACTGAAACAGAATCCATTTGCTCCATTTATGAATTTGGGAAAGCCTTTTTTCACCTTTTTTTTCCTGGAGTAATTTTCTCTTGGTAAAATGTCAATTTCCATTTATTATCAGTAATTATTCGTGGAAATTTAAGCCTATGATATACCAGCTCAAAATGACCCACATTTCAATGACCACCATCTTCTTGAGTATTGTTGTTGAGCATTTTTTTCCACATCTCTTTTTACATCTTTTCCCACAACGAGAGATTTTTATAAGAACTTTTGGAAGAGAAAACTCAAAAGACCATCTCCTTTCCTCTCCCAGAGCCAAGGAAAAGACTGGCGTAGGCTTTGCATGCTCTGGGATGGGTTGATCTGAAGTTTCAGCAGCAAATTAGGAACTAGGCAGGGAAGTGGGCAGCGATCCACAGATGGCAAAGTTGGATGGGAAAATACTGAGTGACCTGCTCTAAAATGATGCATTTAGTTGCTAACCCACAGCAAAGGGCCTTTAATGGTTTTTCGTTTGGGTGAAAAATTGTGTAAAAATTCATTCTCAGCAACTGCAACACATAATGGTAACTTTTGAACCGTGTTTTCACCTGTGTATCCAGTTGAAGGTCTCACCCTGCCATTAATATTCCATGTGAAGCCTCAAACGTGCCCTTGAAAGCTTTCAAACCAACACAGAATTAATGTACCAAAACCAAAACCTATTCATATTGCCAGAAACAATCTCCCACTGAACTAACGAGCCCACAGTGCCACTGTTAGACCTTTCATTTGGACCTTTATCAGGGTGGGATTTTGAAAGAAGCCCAAGCTTTCTAGACTTTGAGACAACTGATACCACTACCCATACCTTTCTTTTCTGTATTTGGTTGGGTAGATAAATGGATATATCACTTGAGCTACACTCAAGAGATGACAAGCCTGCCCTTCCAGCAACACCACAACCAGATTCCTACCTCCTTGTGTCTGAAAACATAACTCCTCGGATGAGGAGCATCAAGGGCTGAAGAGCTTAAACAAAATTATCTATCTTTCTGCAGCACCGATGCTCGTATCTAACGCCATGTGTCTGGAACGCATTATGTAATGTTTATTTAAATTTAAGCCCCATTTAGAACCGTCCATTACCCTCCAGATTATTTTGTACATCCACAGTATCCTTCGATGCACTCGTAATGCTGCCTCATTCAGAGCCAACTAAAAATGTAAGCGACATATGTTTACTTCGTTTCATTTTTCAGCTTTTATTAAACACAGTGATTCCAGCATAAAGCTTTCCAGGAGCTTGCTCTCTATTTCTTAAAATGATACAAATAGTTTTCCATTATCTATCTGCCAAATGTATGAAACTCAATTATGTTCCTATCAAATTATCCTAAATTAATAATCTTAACAATGTTACTTATTAACAGATTTCCGTATTATCAAAAAAATCAGTAAAGGCTAAAACGACATCAAGCGATCAGAGATATATTTGATTAATGATTAATACTATATTACTATATAAAATATATAGTAATATATAGTAATATATCTAATTAAATAATTAATAACCAGGTTTGTCAGAGCCACACTACGTATTGTGGGCTACTGCCTATGCCATCCTTTTTGACGCTGGAATTCTGTAAAAAACAATCCCATCTTCCTAAATTCTAAAATTCAGTGATTTTTTCCTAGAAAGGAAAGAATATTCTGTTGGGGTTTTTTTCCAGGTGTGAAACTTCCTAACATTTTTATGTTTTCTTTCTATCTGTTGGAGGTTCAATTCTGCAAAACCCAGCTCTGATAGCCCCAGAGATCAACAGTGTTTCCAGGAAAAGAGGAGCTAGCGAGGAAAAGAAAAACTTTAAGGAATGATTCTTTGGCAGTTTAATTTGCTCCTTGTCCCCATTTCACTTCCATATTGCTCTGATATTATGCATTAGTAATGAATGCTAGATAATTATCGAGCATCTATGCATTTTTTAATACCACAAGTGAGAGGCTGGCATTTATCAAGTGTGCTCATTGTCATCCTCAGCCTCTTTCGGTGATAATACTGGGTGAAAAACAATATTCTGCTGTGGCAGGACTGAAAACACACATGCACAATGATGCAGAGCTACCCAAGAGCTCTTGGCTTCATTGCTCTCAGCAACTCATTGCTGTAATATAGAATCATAGAATGGTTTGGGTCAGAAGGGACCTTAAAGAACATCTGGTTCCAACCCCCTGCCCTGGGCAGGGACAATACATACCTGGGAAGTGAGGGCAGATTGCTGAAAACCAGCAAAAAATAGGAGTCAACCTCCTTTGTGCTTTGGTAGATTTTGGTTTCAACCAACCTTTCCTTCCTCAGGAACTGCCTTCCCTCAGGAACAGGACTACCGTGGTGCTACCAGTGAAGTCTCCTGCAGTGGAGCACGATCTACACGCTGCTGGCACACAGACCCCTATCACCTTACCTAAGGGATTTTGTTTCTGAAAACTCCTCCTTCCCAGCCTAAATCCATTTCTCAGGGTTTTTTTTTTCCCCCAGTCCTACCTCACTAGAAGAACAGGGGAAAAAAAAAGATTAATCTTTCGTTAACAACTCCTGAAAAACCGAGGAAATTCCTTATTGTTGGCCAACCTGACTTTAATACTTGAAAAAAATAACCTGGGGGTGATGCCTGGTTGGCCAGATGTCAGCCTTGGGCATAAATAACCCCATAAATAAACTGGGTCTATATCCATAAAGAAGTACAGGCTACCAGTATATAGTGCCAGACATCACGCTTGAAATGATGATTTTGCCAAACACTTCATACACACGTGAAGATTACGAGTCCAGTCCTCTACCTTATCTAGGTTGCCTTAATTTAACATATTTGGATTGTTTTCAAGGTTTCTGATTTTGTACCCTAGGGCAACCTAATTAAACAACAGCATAAATTACATGGACTTAATAAGGCACATCAAAATGGATGAAAAGCTAACTCTCAGGCTCTGAAGTTTCACGCAGAAGTCGTGAAAGAAAAGGGTTGATATGTGAATTTTACCACAGGAATTGAGTTCTGCTCCAGAGTTCATAGAATCACAGAATTGTCTGGGTTGGCAGGGACCTTTAAGATCATTGAGTCCAACCATCAACCTGACTCTGATAAAAACCATCACTAAATCATGTCACCGAGTTGTTTAATATTTTACAATGTCTCAATACAAGTTAAAACATACTATGTTAGATTTGGAAGAGTACACAATTTGTGGGTTCCTAAGACCCCCAAAAGGACAGTTTACTGTAACCTAAAGTTCAGTGATAACAACTCCAAACCCCACTGCATTTAACGGTCCTGAAACAGAAAACTGGGAAAGAAAACATCTAGCCAGTAGGAGACTGTCATGGAAAGCAGCATAAAAGCATTATGAGATCCTGCTGGACCCACATGCTGTGGCCAAAGGAAGGTTCCTGTGCTCTTTGTACACGTAGAGAGGAAAATTGAGTATACACAGGAATTTGTTCTTACTGTACAACATAATCCAGAACCCACAAACCCACTAATGGAACGACGCCCGGCTCATCTCAAGAAGGAAAAAGAAATGGCAGGACCACAGAATAACTGAGGTTGTGAAAAAACAAGCTTTTTAACTTAAACTTCTCGAGCCTCGTATCTCATCCCTATTGAAGAACCACCAGGAAGCCACTTATCCTGGTGCACACAGGGATATCTGACAGCAGAAAATAGAGAAGACAAGCATTTCAGGTAAAGACATACCTGGCTGCCCAATGATGAGAAGCTGAATTTGGGCACAGTCGGTCTTGAAATGCTTTGGCTATATTTTACAGAGAAAAAAAGGGATCTTTCCAAGTCTTTAAAATGGTATTAGGCAGTGTACTAAAAGTACTCTTTAATCCAGTTTCTGAGAAAAAAGTGACTTGGTCTTTTGTTTACAGGAAGTGAGATTAGATGATTTCGGGACTGTTTACATGAGGTATTTCAGACATCTGACATGAGTGCTCCAATCATCCTGTTGGAGGCACCCCTCTTACTCCATTAAAAACAAGAAATTTGAACTATTTACAGTTTGGTCCTCTGACCTGTGTGGATGTCGGACTCCTGCAGTGGTCAGCATGAACATGCTCTGCTGTGCCCACAAATGGATGAATACTCTGATGGCAAACACCAATCTCTCTGTTTGTTGAGGAATCAGACACCTTAGAATCGTAGAATCATAGAATTGCCTGGGTTGGAAGGGACCTTTCAGATCATCAAGTCCAACCATCAACCCAACACTGACCAAACCCATCACTAACCCATGTCTCTAAGCACTATGGCTGCCCGGCTTTGAAATCCCTCCAGGGATGGTGACTCCACCACTGCCCTGGGCAGCCCATTCCAATGTGCAATAACCCTTTCCGTGTCAAAATTGTCCCTTATCTCCAATCTGACCCTCCCCTGGTGCAACTTGAGGCCGTTTCCTCTTGTCCCATGGCCTGTTCCTTGGGAGAAGAGACCGACCCCCCCTGGCTACCCCCTCCTTTCAGGGAGTTGGAGAGAGCGAGAAGGTCTCCCCTCAGCCTCCTTTTCTCCAGGCTGAACACCCCCAGCTCCCTCAGCCTCTCCTCACAAGACTTGTGCTCCAGACCCCTCACCAGCTCCATTGCCCTTCTCTGGACCCACTCCAGCACCAAAATGTCCTTCATGTGGTGACAAATCTCGGCCTTTTTATGCCAAGATTTAGATCCCGTTGGCCTTCTCCTTTAGACCTCTATGGTCCACATCGATAAAACCAGAACCACTCAGTGACTCAGGGGCACTGAGGTACATGTTTCTGTCGTGCGTGTGTACTCAGAAGTTCACAAAAATTTTTGAGGAATGAAGGATAGCATCCCAGAAAAGAAGATATTTCTGCAAATTCACTTTTCACAATTGAGATAAATGGTTCAATTTCCCTAGTCTATCAGACCCTCTCTCTTGCTCACCTGTTTGGAAAAGATGCACATGCAGATGTCAGAATTTAAAAAAAAAAAAAAAGTGCTTTTAAATTGATGTCAAGCATCCCTAGAGAGGCTGCATTTTCATGGTACTCTCCCTAACCTGGGCATCCCACCATAACCTGTGCCCACCAGATAATCTGCCCTGAATCATGGAGCTGGCTCTTCCTGTGATGTATTCAATTTTATCCATCGGGAGCTTGAATTAATGAAGTTTGCTTTCGTATCAATTGTACTTGACCCTATCACTGGCCCAGAAATCTTGAAGATGGCAGAATCTTCAATTTCAGCAAGATAAGCAGCATCATTTCAAGTGTAAAGCGAGTTTTTCCCGTGGGCAAACTTACACTGTAGGCAAAATACACTTCTGTGTACTCTGCTCAGAGGGTTTTTTCCACATTTTTGCCCAGGGTGATTCATTACCAGTATCTTTGCATGTCACTAACTGCCAAGTAAATCGAGAGAAAAGTATAAATCTTGATGTGCATTTGCCTATCTTACTTTATAGGATATCCTATATCCTATCCTACTTTGTAGGATATCCTATATCCTATTCTACTTTATAGACTATACTATAATATATTTTATATTTTAATATATTTTATTACCAAGCCTCCTTATCTTCTAGTTCCCTGTCCCCATCATGTTAATTCCTGCAGACAGGAGTTTTTTTTTGAAAGGGGTAAAGGAATATCTGCAAATCATTTGCTGTTTCTGATCGCTGTAGCCAATTATATTGGTTGACTGAAGAGAACTCCCGAATCTAGCTGGAAGCATAAAAAAAATAGATGCACATTTGAGCTTCAGCTGCTCTTGAGTGAAGAAAAAAAAAGGAGATAAATATGTTTTTCTTCCCTTCATCACAAAATATGAGCTTCAAGGAAAACAAACCCCATGTAATAATTCCACTTAGAAAACTTTTGGAAGCTGTATTAATTGTCAAAATTATTCAGGAACGCAATGTCAAATGTCATCCATGACAACATCTGTACTTCTTAATCTCTCCTCTACACAGAGCTGATGTGGTATTTTAAGGATAAGATTTTCTTAAATTTTAGGGCAATGTCCACTGATACTGCAGCAAAGAATATGAGTATGCAAAGAATATCGAAGTATTTGTAGATCAAAATATATAATATAAAACCATTATCTGATGTCTCTTCACATCATAAAATAGAAAACTTGCAACACACTGGTTGCAGGAAAATTATATCACAGGATTTTACAGGAAAAATGTGAAAAAATATTTAAAATACTGTGGTTTTTCCTGGCTTCAAAAAACGTAAGATAAACTCCCCAATCACAAATACTTCTCAGAGTACGCTTCAGGCTTTGCCTAAGTGACTTTGGCAGCCTGTAACTTATTAGATTATAGTTCTAGCATCTGAATCCAAAGACTTCATTACTTGTGCTTGATGGAGGAAAATAGTATATACTAAGAAAAAAGTCACAACTACAGGCTTAGTGGCTTGAGGCTTATATGCCTTTCCCTCTTCCAAAAGCTGTAGTGCGCACACATTTATTTCTGCCTAATAATAATAATAATGATGATAATAATAATACAGAATTAAAACCTTCATAACCAATGAGAACAGAAAGGATACATTGACCATGGAATCAAGTTTTAATTTATAACAGTTTTGGGGAGGCTTGAAAAACTATCTAGAACGTAATGGCAAACAAAATAATTCTTTATGAGATGTAATAGTACAATTTACACATTTATAACTAAAAACAGTATGTGGTGTAATTAAGCTTGTAATAAGTTTGTTAAATGACAAAGATGTTGATGAGTTCAAATAATCTGTGGCATTAATAAGGTTTTTTTAACGGTCCTTTTAATATCTTTGGGCATTAAAATCTAGTGGGGAAACAAAACTGCAGTATTTTCATCCTTTTAAAGGCATTAACTGTATGTGTTCAAATTTAATCTTTGTGTCCTCAGCAGCCTGACAGCCCCAGCAGAATTGGGCTTATCTCTCTTCGCATGGTTCATTTCTGCTCCCCCATCAGGTGCCAGACATCTAGAAAAACAGTATTGATAGAAAAACGTCCAGAAAACCATTCTGGGATTAATTCTTCCACTTTCAGTTACAAATGCTCTGATGTGTTTAAAGGTAACCAGTAAAAAAAACCTCATGGGAATACCCGAACAGCAGAAAACACTGATGTATCTGAACAGTTAAATGAGCAAAAGCTCTGCCAAAAAAAAAAGAGTGCTGAGGCGCAGGGGTGGCCATGGGTGATGGGACTTTCCTCCAGGCTGGCGGGTATCAATCAAGCTCCTGGCATTATACATTAAACATCAAGGGGCCAAACAACATCAACAAGCCAAGGGAAAAGATCCTTCCCTCTGCAAACATGCAATTCCTCTTAACCCAAGAGCACCGCAGGTTGAGAAGATCGTCCTCACATTTCAGACAGGGAGCAGGTGACAGCCATTTCACGCGTTTTGTCATCTCCAGCGTGAAGGGAATGCAAAACCTTGTGTGAGAACCCATAATCTTCTCTCA